TGATTCACTACTGAGTATAGACACCATCTTCACCTACATTCATTCACTAATGAGTATCCACGCCACCTTACCTACATTGATTCACTAATGAGTATCCACACCACCTTCAACCTACATTGTTTCACTACTGAGTATAGACACCACCTTCAACCTACATTCATTTACTAATGAGTATCCACACCACCTTCACCCACAATGATTCCCAAATGAGCATCCACACCACCTTCACCAACTGATTCACTAGTGAGTATCTACACCACCTTCACCCACATTGACTCACTAATGAGTATAGGAACCAACTTCACCCACATTGAATTACTAATGAGTATCCATACCACCTTCACCCACATTCATTCACTAAGGTGTATCCCACCACCTTCACCTACATTGATTCACTAATGAGTATCCACACCATCTTCATGTACATTGACTCACTAGTGAGTATCCACACCACCTTCAACTACATTGATTCACTAATGAGTATTCACACCATCTTCCCTAAATTTATTCAGTAATGACTATCCACACAACCTTCACCCACATTGATTCACTAATCAGTAACCACACCCCATGTCACTTACATTTATTCAGTTATGAGTATCCAAATAACCTTCACCTACATTGATTCACTAATGAGTATCCACACCATCTTCACCTACTTTCATTCACTGAGTATACACACCACCTTCACCTACATTGATTCACTAATGAGTATTCACACCACTTTTGCATACATTGATTCATGAATGAGTATCCACACCATCTTCACCCACATTGATTCACTAATCAGTATCCACACCACTTTCCCCTACATTGCTTCAATAATGAGTATCCACACAACCTTCACCCTATGTTGATTCACTAATGAGTATCGACACCACCTTCAAACTACATTCGTTCACTAAAGAGTATCCACTCCAGCTTCAACTACATTGATTGACTAATGAGGATCCACACCAACTTCACCTACATGAATTGACTACTGAGTAAACACACCATCTACACCTACATTGATTGACTAATGAGGATCCACACCAACTTCACCTACATGAATTGACTACTGAGTAAACACACCATCTACACCTACATTGATTCACTAATGAGTATCCACAACATCTTCATTTACATTGATTCACTATTCAGTATCCACTCCACCTTCACCTACATCAATTCTGTAAAGGGTATCCACACCACTTCAACCTACATTGATTCACTAATGAGTATCAACACCACATTCAACCTACAGTTATTCACTAATGAGTATCCACACCACCTTACCTACATTGATTCACTAATGAGTATACACATCCCCTTAAACTACATTGATTACTAATGAGTATCCACACCACCCTCACCTATATTGATTTACTAATGAGTATCCACCTAATCTGCACCCACATTGATTCAGTGCCTACATTGATTCACTAATGAGAATCCAGAGCACTTTTACCCACATTGATGCACTAATGAGTATCCACACCACCTTCACCTGCATTGATTCACTAATGAATTATCCACACCACCTCCACCTACATTGATTCACTAATGACTATCCGTGCCAACCTCACCTACATTGATTCACTAATGAGTATCCACACCACCATCACCCACATTGATTATCTTATTACTGTCCACACCACCTTCACCCACATTTATTCACTAGTGAGTATCCACACTACCTTCACCTACTTTGATTCACTAATCATTAACACAGGCAAATACATGTAGATCATTTAGTCACTGAAAGCTGTGAAAATTGTGAGGTTATTTTTATAAGGATATGTAGAACATCAGACCCTGTAAGTTTTAGAGCCTGGAATTTGTTCTCCCTGAGAACAATTCTTACATTTTCACATTTAAGCATTTGTCATAAAAATCCAGACTGATGATATAACCTGAAGAATACAGCAATTCTAATTGCCAGAGTGATGAGTGTTCTGGGCCTGGTAGGTTCAGATATATACTCTTCAACTCAATAGCTGTGTAACTTTAAGCAGGTTACTTAACCTCTCTGTGCCCCTGCTGTCTCATCCATGAAGTGAGGAAGATAGTTCAGCATTGTTGAGAAGATTAAATGGGTCAGAGTTTATGAATGTGCCCCTTAAATGGTAGTTTGCAAGTGTGCTGAAAAAAAAAAAGGAGAGGAAATTCCACATTCCCACATTCTCCCCTCTGTTAGTAGCAGGTAGAATTTCTTGAAGGAAAACAGACTCAGCTCCCTGTGGTAGAGCTTTCTCTTTCCTAGGCCTTCCCTGGAGTCCCATAATCTTCAGCCACTCACAGCCACCCCACTGTCCCCAGTGAGACCCCACTGGAAGTCACTCACTGGAAAGTTCCTCCAATTGGGGAACCCACTTCTGGTGGCAGTTCCCATGAAGCGGGGAGCTCTGAGCATGCAGCTCCTCAGCGTTTGCCAGCAGTGAGCTCTGGGACCTCTTAGAGACAGGAGCAGGGGCCACTGACTGCCCAGTGTCCATCCCACCACTGCTTGTGGTCTAACCAGCCCTTGAACCCCTGGGGCCTGACCCAGCCTCAGGCTGATGAATTCAACATTAACCAAGATCCCTTTGGGGTTTCAAGTCTTCTTTGTTCAAAATCAGTATTAAATACAGGCATTTTGTTTCTGGCCACAATAAGCCCAGAACAGTGAATGTGGTAGGATCTGATTTTGTTGATTATAAACTAAGTAGGTGGCACCCCATAGCAATTTGGGGTGTCTGGGGCTTCAACTGTGCACATAGGTTGTGGGCCTGGGACCGAGGGCACCTTGGGAGTGTCATTTTTAGAAATGACTCACAGGCTTCCTATCATCTGCTGCCTTCATTTACTACCTTCTCCTAAATGCTGGAGTAGATTCTAGTTAGTTAAAGGCTTTTTCTAAATGATGAGAACAACAAGAACAGACTTTCTCTGTGGAGTGCTTTCCTGTGAGACAACACGGACTTTAGACCAAAGTGAGAAGACCCAGCAAAGTCACTGGTGGGCACTCAGATAAGAAGGAGTGCATGGCTTGTGTGGAAAACCAAATTTTGGCTTATGGCCAATCAGTAACATGTACCTAGCAGAGCTGGAGACAAGTGCCTGTGTGAACCCCAAGCCGGCAGGGCCCATGTGTGACAGTGCCCTCCCCCCAACCTGCCACTGCGACTGTTACATCTATGGGTGGCTGCAGTTTCTACACATAAATATTTAATAGAATAACCATCATTTCTTGAAGGAGCACCCATTTTTGAGGCAGAGTCTCACTATGTCGCCCTTGGTAGAGTGCTATGGTGTCACAGCTCACAGCAACCTCAAACTCTTAGGCTTAAGTGATTCTCTTACCTCAGCCTCCCAAAAGCTGAGACTACAGGGGCCTGTGACAATGCCTGGCTATTTTGTTGTTGTTGTTGTCATTGTTGTTTGGCAGGGCTGGGCTGGGTGCGAACCCACCAACTCCAGTGTATGTGGCTGGCACCCCCAACTGCTGAGCTACAGGCACTGAGCCCTTTTTTTTTAATGACAGGATAGAGTTTATTGACAGGGAAAGATAAATAGAAAGATTAAAAAAGAAGGGGAAGAGAATTTCTAGCAGTACAAATGGGGGATCCAAGTGGGAAGCCCCAGGGTATGAAATCCTTAAGACATGTCAGAATTAGGCTGCCCTCCTTCCAAAGCCCCAGGTAGGCAGTAGTAAAGTGACCTGATGAGTTGTACTAAAGCAACAAAACTTGTTTTGTAGCCTAAGACAAATTAAAATATAATTAATTCATCATGCAGAAAACTATCTTCTGGGTAAGTATGGTTTAAATGTGATCTGGCTTTGGTGGTCTTCATCCTCTGCCCCTCCCCCACCAGATCTCTTTTTAAGTTGGTTTTGACATTGTCCAGGCTGGGAAGTCCCTGACACCTGGGAAGCCCGGAGCAGTCCATCCATCATGACAGCTCTCCCTGTGGGGTGTTCTGTTCTCAGGATACAGAAGTTCCCTTTCTCTTGCTTCAGGCCTCCCTCCCCCATGGAAGGGGGACCTCTGACCCACTCAAGACATCCAGATTCCCTGTGAAGACAGGCCGATCACCTGCCCTGATTCTGCTGTGTTCAATTCTCTTTCTAGCTCTTAAAGACTCCAGCAAGGGATCCATCAACAGTGACTGGAAGATAGAGCTTCCTGGAGAGTTCCAGATTGCAGGTACCACCGTCCGCTATGTGAGAAGGGGCCTATGGGAGAAGATTTCTGCCAAGGGACCAACCAAACTCCCCCTACATTTGATGGTAACTTATGGGGCTTTAGAACTTGTCTTTGGGAGGTCGGGGGTCGGGGTGGCTCCAAGAGGTCTGCTTTGTGCTTCTTCCTGGGACCTGGGGGACCAGAGTTTACATCCAACTCACAGGGGCTTTCCCTGGCTCTGCATAGGCAAGGCTTCTGTCTTTTCCAAAAGGAGCTACTTCCAAGAAGGAAATGCTTAGCCACATGGTGGGTGGCAGCCAGGGAGACATGGTCTCCTTGAACAGACAGCCCATTCGAGGTCTGTTTTTATATTAGGTGGCAGGATGCAAAGATGTGCCCACAGTTTGTATATGCACACTGGGAGCCACCTGTGGAAATGAACTATTGACTCTGTTTGAACCATCCTCTCAGATTTCTCAGACTCGGATTACAAGTGTTTGAGAACCAGAAAGGAGAATCCGATTCTGGGGGCATATTTATTCCCTGGGGGGTCTCGGGAAACCCATGCCATTGGGCCAGGCCAGGGCACTATTTTCTTGCCTGTTGTCTCAGGGAGGCCTTGGTGTGAGCTACTCAAAAGTCATGCATCCTTTGGAACATACTCATCTCCAGGGAAAGGAATGTCACTGCTTCCTTCGCTGGGTACAGGAGTTCTTATGGCTAGCTTCTGATAGCTCATATTTATTGATGATTATTGATTTCATGTTTACTTTCAAAGAATAGGCTGTCTGGCAGCTTATGCACCTGTAATCAAAGCATGCTTTGTCCTTACTGCCTGTCAGAGTCTCTCTACTTAGAAGTTCTTTTCCCCCCATTAATTTGTAATCTCTGGCAACCTGCAACTGTTCAAGATCAGGTGACACTCAAAAGATTTTCTGGCCACTGCCCAGGGACTCTCCTGAGGAAACCAGCTCTGCCTCTGAGCACCAGCACCGGTGGGGGGGGTGTTGCACTGTGATGGCACTAACCTTGTTACACTTTCTGGTGAGACAAAAATGAGGAGAATTTAGGGGAATCTGCATATGCAGCACTTTGCCCACTAAATCCACTGAAAATGTTTTCCTGCAAGTAGGTTTCCAAGACCCAAGAACTTGTACCAAAGTTGTCTATCTGGGATAAGATTATTTCCTGGTCAAAGTTAGAACAAATCCTCCTATTCTGAGTTAAAAGCAATTATTGAGAGGTTCTATGAGAGGAGGCAAAAGGTAGATGAAACCACTACAGAAACATTACCTATTACATGTGACTTTGCTTTCTGAGCACACACCAAGATAAGTACACGGCCCTTCTTGACTAAGAGCTTTCATAAACTGAGCAAGTCATTAGCCCGTTAAAGCAACCACACAGCCTGTTCATTCAGACCATGAAAAACAAAACTCAGAGAAAACAACCCCTGCCATGGTTGAAGCTTCAGCCTTTGTTTAATATAAATCATTTTTCTCTCTTGAAATATCATTGGCACTTCAAGTTTTTAAACCTAGAAGTGAGAAATGTTCCTTTGCCTCAAGACGGAAAGCCCTTGTCCCCAAATTGAGGCGCTCACATTGTTTGCAGAGTCAAGAGCACTGAGAGTCACAGGAACCTGCATTTGAAACCAATTACACACCCACACACACAAATTATACGTGGCTACAAAATTGCATGAAATTGGTTTCATATGGATTCTCAATTCACCAGTCTCATTCCCATGCTGAGATAATAAAGATCTCTTTTAAAGACTAGTTTTGGTTTTTTTTTCAAACTGGAGGCATTTTTTTCAAATGCATCACAAGTCTGTTTGGTGCAGAAGTGGATGTTTATGCAGTTAGGTCTGCTCTTAGCACCCCATCCCCATGCTACGGTACCTGGCACACCTTGACCTGGACTGCCCTGGGTCAAGCCAGGTGGGCTGCACACATTCTGCCCTTAGCACCTGCAGGCCTGGGCTGGAAGTGAACTTGCTAGTGGCTTAGACCCAGGAGCACTCACTGCTTCCAAATGTAGCCTGAAGACACATTATCTACAAACAGGCCACTTTAAGCTCCTACAAGAGGGTATGTTTTGCACCATTATGTCCACAGCAGTATTTTTCAACCTTTTTTTTTTTTTTTAATCTCACAGCACACTAGAACATTTCCACAGAACACTTAAATTATGTTGATCCAAAAAAGTAAAAATAAGAATATACTTAACTATGCTTGAACTTCTTTTAAAAATAATTTAATTAATGATCTTTAAAAGAAATTGCAGCATACCTAAGATCCTCTCATGGCACACCAGTGTGCCACAGCATAGCAGTTGGAAATCACTGATGTAGAGAAATAAATCTGCCAGAGCATCTGCTGGCCTTATGTACCTTATTGTGTGCACTCCCTGCATACGCGCTAGGATTTCAGACCCAGGGTCTCTAAGCTACATGGTGGGCCCCCCCCCAGAAAATATTATGGGACACTCACCCTCCAGCCCCCAGCCCCCACCCCCACCAGTTTTAAGCCCTGGGCCAGGGCTCTGCCACTAATGGCATGCCATCATCTCAGCTCCCATGGCTGGGGGAGGGCTATTGCATCCTTGGACTCCCAAACAAGTGCCCCAAAACTCCTCCATAGTCAGCTGTATCTGTGCGTAAGCCTGCCTCTCCCCTGGCTCTCTGGACCAACTGACACAGAGCAGTGATTGGCCACAAGGAAGTGAAAGGTGATGTTCATTTTCAAAGGTGCAGAGTAACCCTTCTAGATCAGGTTCCTTTCTAGGTAAAAGCAGTGTATGTGTGTCTGTCTTGTCAACAAGGGTAGCTTTGTGGGTGAGGATCAGGAATGTGGACTTTTCCTGCATGAGGCAGCTCTCCATAAAAGTACATATAGAGCCCGTAAAGGGACTTATCCCAGATTCCTCCTCTCTTGAGAACAGAAGAAACTGATGGTTTGCATTTGCCCACCCCCAAGTTGTATATCTGAGGAATCCCATAGAAGACTAAATAACACCCTGAGATAAACTGGTTCTGAACCTCGGAAAAGACCTGAGTATCCCTCACAGTGTGGCTAGGTTTGCACGTCCTACAACCCTATGGTTTTTTGTTCCCTCTTAAGATGGTCTTTTATTTTGCCACTGACTCAGGTATTGTTGTTTCACGACCAAAATTACGGAATTCACTATGAATACACTGTTCCTGTAAACTATACTGCTGAAAACCAAAGTGAGCCTGAAAAGCCACAGGACTCTTTGTTTATCTGGACCCACAGTGGCTGGGAGGGGTGCAGCGTGCAGTGTGGAGGAGGTGAGTAGTGGGGCCACAGCTCCCTACGCGTGGGCTTCTCATCGGGGGTGGGGTTTGCTAAAGGAAGGAGAAGTGAACTGGGGCCTTCTGCAGCCAGCACGCAGACTGTGGGAAATAGGTGACATGTATTTCCACAGGAATTTAACCACATCCCACCCTCAGTCTCTCTGAAGAGTGCTCGGACAGGGCCTTCCCAGATCCCATCCAGAGTTCTGCCCATACTGCTGTATCTCCTGTGACCCAGGGCCTCCAACTCTAACCCGTGGGTGAAGGTTTGGCCAATGTACAGCCACCTCATAGGAATGAGAGGTGGACGCTGGAAGTGAACAGAAAAGACCTCCAGCTGTTGTCACTTGGTGGAAAGACACCAGATGATGTCACTGCCTCTTCCCAAATTCCTTTCCCTCTTAGCTCCAGTAACCCCACTGCAGGTCACAGTGGAGAGAAAAAGTCCTACGAGTGGGGAAAGAATTCTGAGCAGGAGTCCTGACCCACAGCGTCCTGCCCTCCCTCACCAAATGACTTCCCTGATCTGCACCTGAACTTTCTCACCTCTAATCCAAGCTGGTCATCCCTCATGCCCACAGAAGGATGTAGGATGAGCCAAAGAAGCAGTCATGCTACAAGAGTCAGCGTGGACAAAAGGCACCACGTTTACTGCAGTGTCAGTCAGGAGGAGCAGAGGGAAGTTGTTGTGAACTCTCAGTCAGCAGCTCCTTAGTGCAACGTTGTTTGTCATCCTGACAGGTCACATGGCAGGGTCATGGGAAATGACACACAGGCTGGGTGGGTTTTGGTGGGCACAGAGTTGGGACAGAAGGGTGACCTGCTCTGGAGTGCAGGGGAACCTGAGCACAGCCTCAGCCACCCGTAATCCTGAGCTGCTATTGACTGCTCAGCTGATGTTTGCTCGACTTCCTATGTGTAAATGATTGTTCGCCATGGAAGAGATTCACAAAATAAAAGACCACTTACCATTTTCATGGCAAAGTGATTGAGCCCAGCAGATGCTGCAAGGGCCTGCTGTGAATACCTTCCTGTACATCTCGGCCGGCTGCCCTCACTATCTGTTCTCAGCCTCTTCCCGAGGAAGCCCTGTGGCAGCAGGAGGAGCCTCCAGGTGCCACCATCAGTCCTGCCATCCTCCACCCTGCCCCTCTTCCTTAGGGGCCCCTTTCCCTCAGCCCTTCAGCAGCCCCTGTGTGCTGATGGCCTCCCAACCTCCAAATCTACCCAGCACCTCTGTCTGTTAGCAGACTTTTCTTTTGTAGCAAGTTGTTGGGAATAAAGCACAGCCCAGAAGAAATAGGGAGCAGACGCTCCTTGGCCAGGGGAGAAGCACGTGTTCTGCCATCGCTGCTGGCTCGGTGGCCATCCCTTTATGAGGAAGATGACTTCCAGCTCCCTGATGCAATCATCAGACCTGCCACTGATGCTGAAAGCAGGCCTGTGCTTTGTACTCACACAAGGCTGCAGTGAGGGGCAGTAGGAACTGTGATGGTATGGTTCAGGATTCTGTCCCTGTGAGTCATTCCTACGTGACAAATTCCTCAGGAGACAGATCCAGCAAGAGTCCAGATATTAGTAGTTGCACTTGACTCCCTATTTATCTTTCATGGTCCCTCCTCCCAAATAACAATAACATAGCTAACATGCAGTGTTTGCCACCTGCCAGTTCTGCTTTAAACGTTATATGTATTAGTGGACTTTAACCATCACTGAAGCACCCTAAGGTGCAGGGAGGTTAAGCAAACCAGCTGCCTTGAGGAAACAGGCACAGAAGCATGTGGCCAACTATTGATACTATGGTTACTATAGTACTATTAGTGATAGAGCCACGACTCTAGCCCAGACAGCCTAGTTCCAGAGGCCACCCTCTTAACTCCCAGTCATTCAGCCTCCCTGACAAAGACATGGCCACACAGTATTTGGGGTACACCTACAAAAGGACTGCCTGCAGCTGTAGTAAGAGTGCGCAGAGCTTCCCAAGGGCAAGTGATGCCTAGGCATAGGTACCAGTCTGCTGACTGAAAAAGTTCAGATTGGCTCTGGAGTGCCTGTCTGTAGGAGATAGGTCTTTGTGTCCCTGTCCCTACACCTCCCCAGCAAGTAGGAATTTTGTAACAGGTGGCCAGGCTCTCTGGCAAGGGCTGAGGTGCCAATATTTAATTGACACAAGATCCCCATAGACTTTAAATATCAAATGAGTAGGGATCAGCAGTCTTTGGTGGAAATTAAAGACCCAAAGCAGAGGTCTGGCCTCAGGGAATCCCAACTTGTCCAAGAACACAGCAGATCTGAGGTGTTGCTACTTGTTCTGGCATCTTTCTCCTGCCCCATACTGCCCCTGCCATTTCTTACACACCTTTATCCCTAAGATTACAGTTTCCCTCTCTGTAAACTGACCAACAGCAACACGTGCACACTTCTCTGTAAGCGTGGATATGTGGCCACTCCAGGAGTGTGTGGCCACGGCCTCTCAACGCCCTGTGGTTGGCTTTTAGGAGAACGCAGAACCATCGTATCGTGCACAAGGATTGTTAACAAGACCACAACTCTGGTGAACGACAGTGACTGCCCTCAAGCAAGCCGCCCAGAGCCCCAGGTCCGAAGGTGCAACTCACATCCCTGCCAGTCACGGTAAGGAGCCGTCTTCTGTAACTTGCACCCAACCAGTCTGGGGCGGCAACACTGTGAATGACGAATGGGGACACACATAACATGATATGTTATGCTGCCAAGTGATTTCTGCTTGCCCCAGGTACTGAACTGCTAGCTACAGAGCCAGAACTCTGATGGAAATACAGTCTCAGCTGGAAGGCATCCTAGAGGAAGCAATTAATAACATCTCACAAAGAAAAAGTAGACATTACCATCCACTTTTAACCCAACCCGTTGATGCCCCCAAATTACTTTGTCTCAGAGGAAAAGGAAATAAATGTTATAGTGTGAGTGCCCAGGTTATAGTGTAATGCCCATTAGAGTGTAATGTGCATACAGGTTAATATTTGTGGTTGACCTGTTTCCATGGCTGCAGACCTCGGGATTTGTTATTTAGAATCCATCAGAACTTCTGTCTCAGCTCCAGCTTTCACGGCCATGCTACTCATGTGCTCTGGAGTAAACTTTCCTGGGGTGTCAGCTGAGATGCATTGTGTGAAACTGTGAAATGTGTTCATTAGTGAAGCCTCCTTTTTGCTAGTTGTTTAGTGAGACTTTGCAGTACTGGGATTCTATTACATTGTGTCATGTCACCTCCTTGGCCTCTCCTTGTGCTCTGAATTGAGGTGAATAGCTTTTGTTTTGTGGTTCTATGAACCTTGTTAAGGCACATCTGCCTTGTCTAACTAGGACAAGCAGTTGCTATTTCAGTTTTTCAGGTTTCTTAACTCAGTTTGCTTCACTTCCCTGGTGCAGAAACTTCACAAAGCATTTGGCTGTCGTACCAGCCCCCCTTGGTCTGTCAAACTCTTAAAGTATGTTTGAGAGACAGCGAGAGAGAGGAGAGAAGGCAAGAAGGTGAGACTTGTTCCAGTGAGTTCATGTGCTCCCTGTCAAATTAAGAATGAAATTCTTCCCTAGTGCTGATGGCCTTAAGGATGTGCTCAGTGCAGAAAGTCTTGAGCATCTTGGGAAGGAAGGACTTGCCTTTGTAAACACTTAAGGATCCAACAGGCCTCAGTCTTTTCTGAAACCAAAGATGGCCTGGCCCTGACAGAGAGATTAAAAAACAGGATAAGTGACACTAGAGGAGGAGAGGTCAGTGTAGGCTTGAGGGCTTAGGGTCTTGTTAAAGAATCATATTTTAAAATAAGTTATATTTTCAAACTATTTTAGCATCCAAATGTTTTAAATATTTTCACTATTTATTCATTCATGTGAATGAATGAAAGGATCTCACTTTATCACCCAGTCTTGAGTATGGTAGCATCCATGTAGCTCACAGCAACCTCAAACTCCTAGGTTCAAGCGATCCTCCTGCCTCAGACTTCTGAGTAACAGGGACTACAGGTGCACCCCTACGCCCAGCTAATTGTGTGTGTGTGTGTGTGTAGATGGGCTCTCACTATTGCCTGGTCTGGTCTTAAACTCCTGGCATCAAGCAGTCTTTCTGCCTCAGCCTCTCAAAGTGCTAGAATTATAAGTATGAGCCACTGCACCCAGCCTTTACTGTTTTATTTTTGTCATACACTGTAACTACTAAAAAGTAGAAAGTTAAAGCTAATATCAATGAAGGTTGTTCTGAGATTCTGCATATTAAAACCAAACTCAAGTTCAAGTTGTATTTGCATATCTTAATCTTAATACCATTTAAAAAGTATTATGTTAACATAAAAAGGAAGAAATATCATTATTAACATCAAAAGTCAAACTGTAGGAAATTTCAGTATTACTAAGTGACATTATCCAAGAAGACCTGGATCACATTTAACTGAGCTGTATTCTTATTTATTAAGCTTTTCTTTTATGAAAAACCATTTTTCTATTTTAAAACAGAAGAGTTCTTTATTATACATGAGGCAGGAGACAGAATAATGACTTATTTTTAAATGAGCCCTATAAATTAATACATGCTATTTAGTTAATAAGTGCATCATTTTTGAAGGTGCTTTTAATTTGATTTTTTGACATTATTATTTATTTAATACTATATATAATTTATTTCAATATGTCACCCATATAAAAAAATAATTAGGATAGTTTACATTGTTTTTTTTTTCCTAAATGTCTTTATTTATTGTTTTTCTATTTCAGATTAATATGAGGGTGCAAAGGATTAGGTTACATTGTTTGCGTTTCTAAGGTAAAGTTCAAGTTGTAGTTAGCCGTTCATCCAGGAGGGTTGCTGTGCACATTAGGTTAGTGCACCCTTACACTGTGCACATTAGATGAGAGCACACCCGTCCCCCTTCCTCCTCCTTTTCCTCCTCTAAGACAAGTAGGGCAGATTCCATATAGCGTACCTAAGGCTAGCAGCAAAAGAGAAAGGAATAGAATACAAAATGAAGATGACTTGGCCCTGGCTTTAGTGTAACAGAGAAATTTTGTTTAAGAACAAAGAGAAAGCTTAGAGCACTTCCAAAGAGAGCTGGAAGTGGGCTCCTCTCATGAATGAGAAGAGAGAGACAGAAGCACAAAAGCCATGTAGAGGTATAAATAGCCTCCTTTTCTCTGTTTGTGCCTGTAGGCATTATTGCCCTTTTCTATTGGTCATTCATTATTGTCCTTTTCCCATTGGGCATTGATTACCTAGGTTGCTTCATACCCATATTCTTTTCCCCTTTTTTGGCAAGAATTACAGAGTGCTGACATGCTGTTCCCATAATGTTTCTAGGTACCCTCCAGACTTCCATGTTCAACAGGCCAGGCTTTTCTTTCACACACACACACACACGCCTTGAAGCCCCTTTCTCTGTCCCTTCTCAAAATTCATCTGTTTCTTTTTATTATGTTAATGTAGCTACTAGAAAATTCAATTACATATGCTGCTGACATTTCACTTGTGTTGAACAGTGCTGCTGTTGATTCAGGTCATTCACAACCCTCAGGATACAATCCAAAACTCCTAGTCATACAAAGAAACAGACTCAGAAAAGAAGACCATTAGCGGAGACTGACCCAAGGTGACACAAATGTTGGAATTAGAAGACAAGAATTTTAAAGCAGCTATTGTAACTGTAACGACATAGTGGAAACTATGGTCACTGAACACACAAGAAATCTCAGCAAAAAAAAGGAAACACTCCAAAATACAAAATGTTGTTATGAAATGGGGCTGGATTTTATCGAATGCTTTTTCTGCATCTACTGATGTGATCTTCTAGCCTGTATTTTTGCTTCTGAATTTCCTTTTATTACCTAATTGTTGAGTTACTCTTATTTAAAAGCATTCAGCACAGCCCTGAGCACATAGTATACCTTCAGTAAATTCATCCATTCAACATGGATTCATTGAGCACCTTTCCATTCACCAGGCACCCATCTAGGTTCTAAGGAATTTAGAGGTGAGAAAGATAGATAAGGTCTTTACTCTCATGTAATTTAATAAATATTAGGTTTCTCCCTCCATAAGACTTTTCTTCTATCTTGCTCCTTCTATTCCCCTTCGGACTATAAAATCATGTGAATCAGACTTAAAGAATGAGTGGAATTTCCATAAATAGAGGAGAAATTAAATTGATAAAAGAGAAAGTGACACCTGGATTTTACCTTACAGCCTGGGAAAGAAATGCCTGGACGAAGTGCCTGGACAACTAACTGTTCTAGGCCACTTTTGTTTGTTAGTCTATTTGTTTATTCTGAACCATCTGAGCTCGTATTGTTTCTTAAAATGGATACACAAAAATGAAGTGCTGTGGCTCATCAAAAAGTATTTGTTGTTTAGCTAAAGAAATAGATGATCTGATAACAGATTTTAAACTTCTTGTGAACCCTAGCAAGATACAAGGGCTGTCTAGAAAGTATGCAGCCATGTACTATTATAAGATTAACAATGGCTGGATACTTTCTGGGCAGCCCTCATAGACACACACACACACACACACACGTGTTCATACGTACATGCACACTTATATAACTATATATACACACGATATATGTATTTATGTATGTGTTATGTATAGTAGCCCCCCCCAATCTACAGTTTTACTTTCTATGGTTTCAGTTACCCATAGTCAACCATGGGCCAAAAGTATTAAATGAAAAATTTCAGAAATAAATAATTCATGAGTTTTAAATTGCATGCCATTCTGAATAGCACAATGAGATCTCACACTGTCCTACCTTGGATGTGAATCATTCCTTTGTCTAGCAGAGCCGCAATGTTCATGCTCCTAATGTAATGGACAGTCACTTAGTAGCCATCTCAGCTGTATCATATCACAGTGCCTATTTCCAAGCAATCCTTACTTGACTTAGTAATGGTCTCAAAATGCAAGAATAGTGATGCTAGCAATTCAGATATGCTAAAGACAAGCTGTAAAATGCTTCCTTCCTAAGTGAAAAGGTAAAAGAAAAAATGTCATATGCTGAAGGTGCTGAGATCTACAATAAGAATGAATTTCTTCTGTTCATGAAATTGTGAAGGAGGAAAAAGAAATTCATGCATGATATATAGAGGGTGCAATACCATCTGTGGTTTCAGGCAGCCACAGGAGGTCTTGGAATGTATTCACCACAGATAGGGAGGACTACTATACAGCTACTATAAATGCACATATTTGGATAATAAAATTTGAATTATTACATAGCATGTTCTAGTTGTCATAACCCCTTCAGAAGAACCTATATTTATATGGGCTCAGGCAAGTAAGTGAAGACAGTGACGGATTTGACCTTAGAAAATGAGTGCTAGAAAATAAGAGGGAAATGTAACACAAAAGCAAACACTGTGCTTGGGAGTGGCGTTTCAGATGGGGTGGGCATGAATGGAGGACAGAGCCTGGAACCTGGAAGAAGAGCTCCAGAATCCAATGGCATGAGTTCTATTAAAGAAGCCAGAATGCAACCCATTGTTGCACCCAGCAATCTTTCTGTATTGTTACTCTTTGACCTTTAAAATGCCAGGAGGTGTTTGTCTTTTTCTCTCTTATATATTTCTTTATTTCTCCTGCTCTCCATTTAATTTTCTTGAGCCCTCT